AACTTTGTAGACTAAATAGACAAAAAGAAACTTTTTTCTGATTACTTCGCCACTCAGTGCGAGCCACAATCCGGTGATCGCCAATAAAATTCTATGTAAGACGAACTTCCTCCATTACAGCAGCATTTAAAGTATTTATAAAAAGCTCGATTAAAACGTTCGGCACATGACCCACCGTCCTAACCTACTTAATGCTGAAGCAAAGCTGAATGGTGGCGGCTATTATTATCGTCCATGCCACCTCGCCAATTCAAAGGTGCCCTTGGGCAATGGGAAGGCGACCAAGGTGGTTATATCTCGATAACACCACTACTTGATGCTATGCCTAACTAATACTTGCCCAGCAGACTTTTTTTTTCCAGCAGTTTGCAATTTAGCTTAAGCTAACATGCTGCACCCCTTAAATAGAGCTTGTTAATGCAAACTAAGGGCGCAAGCGAGTTTGCTCTCAGTACTTAACGGGTGCGAATGATACGGCGGTCAACTTTTTGCAAGTTGTGGGGTCCTTGATTTGCCAGCATCAGCAGTGCTATCTGGATACTTTTGCCATCAGGAATCATTATTATAGAATTACTAATAAGGCAAGGGAAAAGCAAAACCCTTTTTATCACCATAACTTTTCAAAGCGTCTATATTTTGAACTCTCTGTTAAATTCACATTTCAATAAATTTTTTTTTGAGAAATAACTTCTTTTATCCTTTCTACTGGACAAAGACTGCTAATTAATAATATTATTCTGGCTTATTTGTGCTGTTTTTCTTTGGTTGCTGGTACTTTAGTAATTAAACACATACATTCCTGTTAACATGCCTCTTGCCTTAGAACAGAATGTTGGTGTTTACTCTGATGGATCACGTATTCATGCCAAGTGGGGTTTTACTATGTGTCGCATGTAATTTTCTGTCCTACATTTCAGCTTACTAAACTAATGGTATGACACCACCTTCTAAGGGACAATAAATTGATCACTCTCTTCTTTTATTCCTTCATATTAACGCAGTTATTTTATAAGAGTTTGTTAGAACCATATTATAATAACTGAAAGGATATTATGGCGATAAAGTAATTTTGCTGATTTTCTAAATAGTATATTGCGACGTTCACCCTGAACACTCAGTTTTCTTTAAGCATCTTCATAGTTGCTTCGGGCGCAGTAGACCTTTTAATAGGTGCATCTCTTAAATACTTAAGGCCTGGTTCAAATAATAGAAATTTAAATAGGTAAACCTTCCTGCACGCTTGCGGCTTTGATTTGTATTTGGGTCTTCTTCGTTGATTGCTCTGTTAGATATAGGCTATGTTGTTTATTGTCCAATGGCTGAAGAAATTATTAGTAGCTAATAATGTGCTTTTAGTGTACTGTGCTTTATTTTTGACGAGGTTACCTAGTTTATATTAATCCTGCTACTATTTCATCTCTCGGAGTTCAGACTGCTCTCTTCCGTTGGTTTTAGTATCTTGAAAACTTCTTTTTATATGACTGAATCTTGGGCGGTTAAAAATATTAAATTAAGTCATAAACAGGAAGATTAGGATAAGGGTGTGGGTCACAGCTCAGTAGATTAGAGTTCTCGCTGTAGGTAGTCATGGGAGCGTACGACTGAGTTTGGTTTTGTGTACTAAAGTAGTGTACCGGGGGGAGGGGGGGTCTATAACTCTTGATGGGTTATTCTTTAGAATCACATACTGGTATGAAGCACAGAATTCGCTGATGGGAGCAAAGAGTAATGACTTTCCCTGTAGAGTTATATTTTAATTGATGCTTCAATTATGCAAAGACTTTTTTCATAGTCTTTTAAATTGACTTTAATAATATATTCGTTGCTGTTTAATTGCTGGAGGTAGTTGGGCATCCGTTCTATAGCTTGCCAAGGGAGAAGAGTTTCTATGGAAATGTTTTTTTAAGTGCTTTTTAAAATCTGTAATGGCCTGTCTTTCCAACTTCTTTGCAAATATTTTCCATTTGAACATGTAAATTATACTGTACTCTCTTCACTTCTACTGAAGAGAAGATTTATCCAGGTCTCAACGCAGAACCTACCATTTTAATAATATGCAAGTAATCGACTATATTAAAATAATAAGTACAGTCACCTCATTAATAATGCGGTTGAAGGACCGTTTAATTTTCTCTCGCTGAGGTGTCCGTTTTTCGACGAAAAAGGTATGATGAGTGACAAATGATAATATACAAGCAAGTCATATTTTCTATATATATATTCGGTAGTAATTCAAAAACTGCACTTAAATAAACGATTGCATGTAGGAATTGGCGCTCATGACAAATTGTAACAAAAATAAATCCCCCTATTTTGTATGTTTACGCGTTACTAAATATTAGTATCTAGATCTATAGATCGGAGCCGTAAAATTATATACAGCATTTATTTTAAAGCTTGTGTTTGGCAAACTAAAAGTTATTATTGAACGTGATTGCTTGTCCTAGACACCTGCTAAGCTCCTAAACTTCTTCCTCTTCCTCCTCTAATTTTTTCTTATCTTGAAAAATTAGATTAATTCCTTATTTCCTCACTCGCGTTCGAAACTTTCACTTCGTTAATACTTTATCATTGTTAGTTAAAAGTTCACTTGAAACTCTTTTCCATTTTATTTACAAATCTCCGAATGCGAAGGTTTATCATGAATTTTCATCCATTCGGCCAATGGCATATTATCTACTTTATAAAATTTTAGTTTATTCGACCTACTATAACTGAAACTCGTGTTTATCTTTTGCCAAGTGGCACTTCCTCAGGCTTTCTTTACATGCTAAACAGCCTATAAGGGTGAAATTACATTGCAAGTTATCCTTTTTGGCCGTTTTAGCTCAAATTCTACGTTAAAAATGGAATGGCGTCGTAATCATTCTCGTTATAACCGTTGATTAATAACAATCAGCAATGAATACCCTTAACAAGTTAATATATTGTCTTCTTGGTTACTTCTCGTTTGTACAAAATATGCTTGTATATGTACCTTTTGCCTTTCTCCTTTTACTTCATTATCCTTTTAGGCTACCCCATTTTATGGCAATAGGCACACTAATTTTTTTGTTTTTATACTGTGATGACTATGAGTCCATGGCATCTGTAACACTAATATGCCGTTTTAATTGTTCTAATACAGTATGTTATGTTTTATTGTTAACGCTTCGGGGTACGCGGCCCTACTTGTGTTAGAAGTTGGACTAGTGGAATTAATATTGATTATAATATTTGTGCGCAATATTTATATTATTTACTAGTTCGATATATTAAAGCAATTATTTAAAGTAAATAAGCGAATTTAAACTAGTGCCTTACCCCTTCTCCGTTGGACCTCCAGGAAATTTCTTACCGAACACAGCCTTTACGTTAAAATAAGTATTTTTGGTTCAGTAAACTCTAGTTCTTATTTTTTTTTATTATGGTTGTTTTATATACTTGTAGAGCATAATAGTATATAATTTTATCAATAATTATGTGTTAAAGAAGACACCTGTATAAAGATTAAGATAGGAAATAGTTCACTTAGCTAATCGACTAACAGGCAGATGCAAACGCATTGTAGGGGGCCCCTTGAACCTTGAATACCAAGAACTAGTTATGGTTCTAAATTTTAAACTGGCATTTATACTTCAATCTATGGTGGAATTTACTTCCGAGGCAAGTTCGGTCTTTAATTTGCATTTGATTCGTTTAGTATAACATTTTTATAAATCCACGTGATTAAGTGAGAATTTGGAACAATAGTAATTTTTGCAAAAGGAAAAATATAAATTTAAACTAGTAAAAATAAAACACGTATATGGTAACCATTGTGCGGTCATAAGATTAAAACTGGGTTCTTAATTTCACATAAACCTAGTAACGCTGTTTACGCCCTTTACTTTACTTCCTTTTTTTCTCGCTTCTAACTCTTATTTTTAATCACATTATTCTCATCTTAGTTAATTTCTAATTAACGAAGGGATCAAGAAAACTACGTGTTATATATGCTCTTTGCCACGTTAATATCACATGGTCAGGCTGCACCATGAGCTCATACCCATGTCAGTCACCTGATATTGCACATTTTGTGTTCTGTCCTGCATTTTGTTTATCTCTTTTATCTCCCTAAAGGTAAAGCTACACTTTTTTGACACGCTCCGAAAAAATAACCCCTTCTCCTCTTTATCTCCATGTTTAAAGTTTAATGCGTTATTTGAAGTAAGCAACTTTTGCAAACTCACTAATCAATGGAAGTAACTAAAAACAACAGCTAATTATTAAATATTTTAGGATTTAAATTGTACAGGGTCCTTAACTTTGTGAGGACTAAGTTAAAGTTTTCTCGTTACGCATCGGTGTTTTTGCTGGGGTTCGTGTCTTGCGTTCGACAGCTTCATTGGTCACATTAATAATTTATAAGTGCTTAGCTTATAAGTTCAGAACTAAGTAATTTTTTTTTTTAATAAATTAATTAGTGTAAGTCATAGTACTCAATGTTCCATTAATAGGCACCATAAACAAACAAAAATTCGAAATAAGCTCGTTAGATCACCAGGTCTCAGATAAGGCTAAAACCGTTCCCGCATTTGTAACTAAATGAGATAAAAATCATCAGGGGATATTTTACTACATAATTACGAAGTTAATAAATGTTGGTGAAAAAACGCCTGAAAATGCAAATATAGGTTACTTCATCACGAAAAATGTTTTACTCTTTACTTAGTGTAATTTAACAATTTTTGGCTGAACTTGTGTTCATAATTTTTGGTGCTATCTATGAAAAATTTCGAGTTAGACAAAATGGCGTTAACAAGTATTTTAAGGGGTTTTAATCCAAGAAGCAAAATAACTGTACATGAAAAAATATCCAAGATGACTTATGAACTTCAACTAGTTTTATATTTTTAGTCAAAGAATTTAACACTTTTTGATTATTTTTATTCAAACAGGGAGCAAACATAATTTAAGGTCGAATTTTAAGAGAAATCATGTGTTATACAAATCCCTTAAGTTGAAAGTCCTACATTTAAACTTTCGTGCAAAATGAAGGGGAGGAGGGGTAGCCGTTTTATCTATTTTTTATTTACTTTATGTAGTAGATTAATCAATCTTTTTATTTTTTTTTAAATATACGTTTAGTTGGCTAATTGGACCTGTTAAATTAAGTTAAGGCTTAATATTATGCAACTTTGTAACTTTGTGTTTCGTTATAACTTAAGAATCTCACTTATATCTTTCCTTTTATGGGTATCCTAATGTTGCGTTAACACAAGTGAATATTAATTATCTTATTTTTTTTTCAGTTTTACTTTTTGTTTTTGAACTCTGGCAAGTTTATAAAATTATCAAAAGTACTTTATCTATTTGACTTTAGAATTTTGTTAAATACTAGGAGCTTATCTATAAATATATGGTAAGTTCCGCATTTTACTGGAACTGACAACTTATTTCATTTTTTAAAAAATAGGAGAAGTAAGAGATTGTTGTATTTTCTTCTTTTTTTACTTTTACCGCTTTTAATCTGCGTTAGTTTTACAGTTAGGTTGAAAGATCACTGAAATAGTTCATTAATCTTTAAATAAGGGGGTATTTGAAAATATTAGGTTTACACTTGTGGTTGATTTTTATTTGCAGGAAGATTTGAAAATGATAAAGTTTGCCCTGTGCACTGTCTTGACTCAAAGGATTTGCCTTTTAATGAGTTTACAAAAGGTTTTAATGCCCAAAGAATGTCCTTTTAACTTTTTAAAGGCTAATGGATATTTTAATTGTTTTTTTGCTACTTATTTCATAAAAGATATTTCAGACCTTAAATTGAAATTAGCGTTATGGGAGTTTGGGCACTGTGATCCAAAGAAGTGTAGCGGCAGGAAACTTTTGCGTTTGAAGATTGCGTTCAAGTTAAGACCTAATCAAAAGTTCCGAGGACTCGTTCTTAGGTTGTATTTTGGGTTTTCACTTCTCTATTGTGTTTTATTTCTCTTTGCAGCCCCGTTGGGAGATTATTTGTATCACCCAGCGATCGTTTGATTGTAATTAGAAACGGGATTGCCGCCGTTGACTGCTCTTGGGCCAAGCTTGAAAAGGTTCCTTTCAATAAAATAAGGAACCACAATGAAAGACTTTGTAACATTCTTAAGCTTATTATTGATTTAAAACTGAACTCTTTTTATGACTAGTACCCTACTTGGTTGCCTGTAACCCTATTAATTACGGGAGACCTTGGAAACTTAACTGTGTGGAGGCTTTTGCTGCTTGTCTTTATATATGTGGTTTACTTAGTTCAGCCCACCATTGTAACTGTTTTATGTATGTGTATTATAACAGGAGAAATGGAAGAAGCGGAGAAAATATTAGACAAGTTCAAGTGGGGCCATTCTTTCCTAGAGTTGAATGGGTCCACCTTTGTTGTTTTGCAGAGACCTTTATTAAAACTAATTTGGCTTTAGCGAACTGTTAGAGGCTTACTCCAACTGCGTGACTAGCAATGATGTTCGCGAGGTGTTCCTCCCTTGTTAACTTGTATATATTTTAAGCCTATTTTATACTTTTAAAGGTTCAGGCAAAGTTTATAGCTAACGTGGAGAAATTGGAAAAAGGTAGAAAGTTTTATTAGAATCAGGTAAACTTCATTAAAGTCTCTTAAGGAAAAATCATAAATACTGAAGAGGATATTGAGGCCTGTTACTTTAACTTTCCTAGTCTTGTGAATCCTAATCGCCCCACTGTACAAAGCGAAGAAGCGTTAGACTGTTCCTATTCGTCGGGAGAGGAGAAGTAAGAAGGAGTATATATAGGAAGCTTATCCAGTTGTAGATCGCGAGAGGGGCATTTAAGCGAGACTGTTTTAGAAGATTTCAATTGCTCGCCGACCTGATTATCTCTAGGGACCAGTTTTTTAAGCACCTCCTTCGTTGTCCTGGTCCCCCCGCATTCTGTGTCTGGCCCCGATATATTGTTTAGCAAAGCTACTGAGCACGAGACCGAAATGTTCGGGTATTTATGCTACTTAACTTATTTTTTTGGCTACCGGTATAAGATTAATAAAAGTTTCCACAAAATATCTTAGCATTTCTTCTTCAGTCTTTAACTTTTGGTAAACAAATCCATGAGAAGACTCAAGAGCCTAATAGTAGTAAATATGTTTATGAATTTGTGAAATAATCAGCAAAGAGATGTTTAGAAGAAAACTGATAAACGGTTAGGGCACCCCTAACAGCAGTGGGCGCAAATAGGGTCTTAGTTAAACCTTACCCGTGTTAAGCAGCTAAAAGCTCGGATTAAAAAATCTATTAAGTACTTTCCGCCTAGTTTCTTTACGTAAGAGCATATTTTAGCTTTTGATTTATAAAACAAATAAAGCAGAACCTTGCTAAAATCCGATATAAGTAGTTGAGGGTTATTTAGGTATAAGTTTCCAAGTCGAAACCACATATAGTGGCACCAGGGATACTCCCATAGACAAAGACGTATATAGTCGTATAACGCTAAAATAAAGGTTAAGTTTAAATATCGTAAAGAGTATCTCATAAAAAATTATCAAAACGAATTTGAAGGCGAGCAATGTTTAGTTATATTGCTATGTTAGCCTAATATAAAACTAATACCTGTATGCATATCAGATTTCTCATATGCATCCACGAAAAGAAAATAACTGCTCAAAGCAGAAATTTTCCCCAACTCGGTTAGGATTGCTCGAGCCAACTTAAAATTATGTAATTTACAATAACTGTAAAACCAAAAAGAGAAATTACACCAATGAGGCAAAGTATAACTAAGGAAAACCTATAAGCCAGAATTTCGAGAATCTCTTTACTATGTGAATCGTTTTCTTTATTAAAAGCTAAACAATCCCCGCACAATCTTATAGTCTCTCTATAATGGCCTAGTTTTTAACGTTATAAATAGTAAGTTCTAAAAGTTGTTATATTGGTAACCTCTATAATAGCTTAATTGAAGCCGGTAAAAATAGATTTCTTTTTTTTAACCCTATTATCAAGGGCTTCAGGTATAGAGAACCATTCATACGAACAGTTTAATGGTACGTATTGGGCAAAGCTTTCAGAATCTTTAATACTTTTATTTTTTTTTTTTTTAATAAATAAGTCGTCAGAAAAATTAAAATAGTGTGCTTCATCAGTATCAGAGGTATCCATACTTTGTAGAAATTAAAACTAGAACAATAATTTCCACACTAGGGTTAAATAGTAATATAAGTAAAAACTTGATTTACATAAAGGGAATTCTCAACGAAAAAGATATTGAAAAAAATGGCTCACAAAGCTACTGTAGACACTAATTAGTTCAAAAACTCGATAAACTCGAGTGCATTGTTCACATTAGTTTCCGGGGGTTTTCTCCTTAATATATATATGTACATGCATGCTAAGAAAGAGTGTGCGCTTAACCCTTTAACGGGCAAAACTCCGGGGCTTAAAATAGATTTGTTTTCTGCTGCGAAATCATTTCCTGTGTTGAAATTATACTTTAAAGTGCAATATTTGTTTTCTAAATTTGATTCTAAATATCCCAATTAATATTTCAAAATAAAACAATTAAATATATGTTTTCTTACCAAATTAACCAAAAGTAAACCTTAAGTCCAGAATTTTATCCTATAAAAGATCGCGCAACATATGCTCAACTTAACGTTCATTAGTAACGAAATATACCACTTTTTTATGTTTTGTTAGTTGCTGCCTAATTCGCTAGAACATGACATACACCAGAGGTTCAGATATCAAACTTGTTGTTTAGGGTTAGTTTCCATAGACCTACTCTTGCAAGTTGAACCTAGACGTCAAGGGGTTAACCTAGTAACCAGTAACCTAAAGAGGTTAAAATGTTTTGCGGTATCGGAAGCACGCGCCCATCCAGAATTTGGATGCAAGGTCTGAGCCTCGGGGGGTTCAGATGGCTATGGGCACGTTTAAAATCAGCAGTAGTCAAAATTTAATAGGTCTTTCTGTCAACGAAGCACCAAATAAGGCCCGCTGATCATTGGTACAAAAGATAGATCCGATGCTTTTGCATGAGTGCAATCCGTTAATGGTTCGTCCAATTGTTAATTTTTCTTCTCGGTACGGGAAGCTTGATAAAGCATTTAAGCCACTGACGTGGAAGTAAGAGAGAAGAAAAAAATTTATAAAATTACTTTACGCCTACACACCCATATTACAAAGGTGGTAAAAGGAGTGTTATACAAGCCTAATTTTAGTAAGCGTTAAAAGGCAGAATCTTGTTTTTTTATTGGCCACAGTTGACTATATTACAAATATATATCTATTTAAAGCCGAACAACAATGTAAAAGACATCTTAAGGCTACTCATATCTCGCTTCTGCATACTCAGCAGGTAGAGTGCGTGGGTCACCGCTTCGACCTTACCGCAAAGTATTCGACTTGTTCTGTCAAGTAAACCGCTTATCGATGATAACGCCCTTGTATATCGCCTGCTTACGCGCATTGAGGGTTAGATGCGGAAGTAGTCCAACATCACTAGAAACGACGTTTGGTTTGCATTTCTTAGCATTGACGGTTATTCCTTACGGCGCTCCCCAGTTGGTAATTATTATTAAGTCGCGTAGTAAATGTTGCCGTTATAGAGTTGAGAACGCATAGCTCGCCGAGCCGTGGGCTTAGAGTGCCAAGTGGTTGTGAGGATTTACAAAAACTGAAATACATACATGCCCAAAGCGAAGAGCAGGGGACAGTAGCAGAATACCTTGCGAAACAACAGCTGTCAGCAGACTTGCAGTGCTATTTCTCGCTTAAAAAGTGCTTTTGCATAGAAACAGAACTAGAATGTTAAGGGCTAAATAAGTATCTAATAAGAAAACGTTTTAACTCTATAAAGACGACGCCCTTGTTTTATCAAATAATTAAAGTTTTCAGTTGTCCACAAGAATTGTTGTATCGTTGTGCTCAAATGCGGAACAGCTGTTCTACACCCTTTTTCAGCCGACGTTTAAAACGATCTCTATGGGTTAGCCGTTAAAAGTAAGATTCTGAGGTGATATTTGCTGAGGTCTAATAAAGCGCATGGAACTTTGGGTAACCCACAACATTGACTTTTTTTTTATTATGTTGAAAAAAAAAACCAAGTGGCTATTAGAATTTGCAAACAGGAAAGATTTTGTCCGCCCATACAGTAACTTCTTTAACATGTCGTTGGTATCGCCCTCGGGCTGATTGCTTTCCGACGCGAAAGTGCAAAAACTTTAACAGCGATTTTATCAGCTGAAACGGATAGAAATATATTGCCAGCGGTCGAGAGGTTATGCGATGTCTTGCCCTCGTTTCTAGAGGGAACCTAAGTTGGAGGCATGCGCTCAGCAGCGAAATGATCGGCAATGAGCGACGTCTTTTTTTTAGCTTTCCCTTTCTGTCACAGTCTTTTTAAGTAGGGGAAATGGTGTGTAATAGCGGTTCATAATTCGCCTGGCAAAACGTTAAAAGATGGTTTCCTTTTTTAGCCCCTAAAGATACGTCCTGTGCTCTCTGTGCCTGTTATAAAGAGAGTTCAGATTTTTTTATCTGCGTAGTTAGTTTGCAAATATTAGTTTGTGGGCGTGGTTTTTGTGTGGCCGCGGCCAAGCGTTTTTAATAGCTGCGTTTACGAAGGAATTTCATTAAATATACCGGTATACGGCCAGGACGATACGGAATCTCGAGACTGGTTGTTATGAGCAGCTGTCAATGCACAGTTAAAACTATTAACTATGTCTTCTAACAAGGTGGTAGTCGAAGAGGAGATGGTAAGTGAAGCTTCAAGTGCAACTATAAACTTTACCTTACTTTCGACTAGCTTTAATAGGATGGGAAGTTGATAAGATGAGAGTTCATGAAGCTTCGCCGAATAGACTTGACTAATGACTCTCCTTGAGAACGGCTATGTCGAGAATCATGGGTTCCGTATTCTCATGTCCATCAGACATCCAAGTCTCAGCACATGAAAGATTGTGTAGGTCTATAACAAACATATAAGCAAGGTTAGCAACCTTTAAATAACAAAGCTCCAGCAAAAGCTCAACTTTTCGTATTTTTTTAAACAAGGAAACCTTAATAAAATATATTTGTTGAACTACAGGAAAAGTACATAAAACTTTAATCCAAGGACTTAACTCAACTGTTGAAAAATCAGTTTTCATTAAAAATTGGATAACCCTATAATAGAGAATATTTACTGAAAGTGGATTAATTTTGCATAATGATTCGCAAAAAACTATATGTTACGACCATGGTACCGTAAGATTCTGTTTAAATAGTTAGCGCCAGTTATTAAACTTTTTAAAATTAATGATAGCCAAAATAAAGAAACAAAATGAGTAAAACAAATTTAAACTTACAATAACAATGGGGCTAAGCCACAATAAAAAAAAAACCGCGCAGAAGCGAAAATAGAGCTTATTACCCAGAGTTTGCGAAATAGAAGTGGACTTAGAAACTGAAATTAGAATAAAAAGAAACTTAATGGAGAACTAAAAGAAAGGCGCTTTTTAATATAAAGAAGGTAACTGAACCGACCCCTTATTTTTGGGTGATAAGCTTTAAATATATGTTTAAGAGTTGGGCATGTAAATATGATTACGGACGTTAATCCGAAAAAGCAATCGCTGAACAAGCAAATGTTACTTTCTTTTTTAAAAAAAATAATACCTTCATTCATTATATTAGATATGAACATACATGCGAGCTATTTAAAACATTTGCAACTGGTATAAATATTATAATATTTTATCAGTTTCTTCACACTGTCTATAGCTTTAAAGAAAAAAATATAGATAGGTAGTTGAAAATTAAATTTAATATATCCAGAAAGGATGCACTTGGGAATCCTAACAGTTTAATACGTGAAGTCATCACAGTGGTAAGAGCATCGAAGCGCATACTCAAGGTAATTCGGTTCTCAACATCTATTTTGGTCTTTGGTACTTACGTAATTAACCTCGCCCTCATAAACTTCTATTAAAACCTAGTTGCAGTTCATTAACAAATTTAGTTAATTAATTTCGTATCATTATACGAAAGAACTGCGCTCTCAGTCTGCCTT